TGGAAAATAATAGCATCCGCCGATCTTGGTGACGGTTTCCCGTACGTCCCACTCGCACATACGTGTCCTTTCCTCGTTATACGGGAATGGCCGTGATGGGGATGCGAGGAGTCAGCACTCATACGAGCCGGAACAATCGGTCCACATAGCACAAGCAAATTCCGAGTACACGAGTCGACTCAAGTGGCAGTTCAATCACAAAAGTAATCAGTCGCGATACTATGGGCTTTATTGCATTTCATCCATTCGGCAAACCGATCAAAAAGAAAGGTGTGAGTTTGATCCAATCACAACAGCAATCATCATTCATTAAGAGAGCGACAAACATGCATTCCCATAATCCCTACAGGATTTTAGCTTAGTTAGCCCAATCAATGCACATGTGTAACAAATCTTGCATACACAAATCCTCAGTTGTTCAAGAGACACATTGACCACCGAAAAATAAAATCGGTAAGATCTCTTGGAACTTACTAGTCCCTTTAAGTTCAATGATGCTCGCTCATACGAGATCCGATTGAATTCAACAGGGGCGAGCGAGATCAGTGAATTCTCGAGTCATTTTGGCATCCATCAAACAGATAAGAGCCGAGGAAGAGAGAGAGAGAGAGAGAGAGAGAGAGAGAGAGAGAGAGACAGAGACAGAGACAGAGGCATAATTTGACCGAAGAAGAAAATTGAGGAGAGAGGATGAGTCTTAGTCATATAGACAATCATGAGGGGGAGCACTCGGCTATTCACCATGGACTTAGCTTTCTGAGAACCAAAGGGAGAAGAATCCGAAAATCAAGGCGCACCATCCTTCGGCTCTCTGATAATGGCCCCTGGCCATGCAACCACTCATATACACACAACGTCCTCACTCAGGTACTGACGCTTGTGGCCGCCACGTGCCATCCTCCAAACCACAGCAATCGTCACCCCGCCAACTCAGCCTTTGCACCAACTTGCCCAGATCCTGCAGTTTGTCGTGGCCACTTGACGCACAGTCATGCATACACTGCAGTCGGCTCGTCAGGACTTTCCGACTCGCTACTTGCACATCACCTAGCCACAACTTCCCTAAAGCTGGCAGATGGGTTGAGAGAGAGATTTTTGGGCGCGCTTGCCAGTTTTATAGTTGCGAGGACGGGAATAGAAGATCGGGAAGAGGAGGGTGGAGATGGGAGGGGGTGAAGAGAGAGTTTGGGTTAATCGCCCAGGGAAAGCCATATCGATCCCCACGAATTTCTCCGCAGCGAATCAGATCACAGGGTGTAAAGGGTGCCCCTTACACAACGTCGCCTGACGGCTCCGAATACTTTGAGGGGGATCGGTAGGGAGTTCCTGTATGGGGATGAAGGCGGGAAGGAGGAGCGCACGAAAAGCAGGGCGGAGCGGGACCAAGATTTGGATGCGAAGAAGTAAGGGCGAAGCACGAAGGGGGAGGGGATGGAAAACAGTTACGGGTGTACGAGAAAAGGAGCGAAGAAGAGGAGGGTGAAGATGGCATGGGTCCTTGCGGGAAGCGGGGAAAACTTGCATGCAGGGCGCTGGTGTAGAAAAGAAAAAGGCACCGAAACAGTTACACTTCATCCATTTTGGTTTTGAAGCTACTTCAGGATTGAAAAAATTCAAAAGTAATATCGGTGCGCGGAATTGAGCGCGCAAAAATCCTACGTCTATCGAGCTTCCTACAAAAAGTTCACAGATCTTTCAAGAGTGCATGTGAGATCATGCATTTGCAAGAAAGGACACGTCAACGGGAAAAGCGCCCGTAATTTCTGGAGTTCCCAACTGTCGCGCAAAATTTATAGCGCGCTTGCTAAGGCGTGCGTAATTCCGACGTAGATGCATGGATTGCCAAAAGGAAATTGCAAAGAAATCAAAAGAAACGTTGTCTCAGACATGAGCGGGTCTGGTTGGCTATTCCATGCACTGGGGAGATGCAAAAAGAAGGGGTACCCGAAAAGAGCCAAAGAGAAATCCGACGAGTCGGAACAACAAAAACTCGGGGCTTCAGAAGATCGTTCGGGTACGTAAGCTATTACGTCACAAGTGATCACTCTTGATCGCAGTAGACCCTCTCCCTACGCATCGAACTACTCTGTCATCCGCGGTATACACCAATTACTATTCTTCTAGAGTGGTGCCAGCGGATGCGGCTATGAACTGAGCCATCAAGAACCTCTATAGTCTGCAGAGTCCCCTAGCCAACAATGTTGAAAGCGATAGTCCACCTTAACCCCGGTTGTGGTTAAGCATCAATGACAGCCCCGCAACTTTATACCCTAAGGCGGGGACCAACCACTTCCCTCAAGGTGCCTGTGACAAAAATCAAAGCAAACTATCACTTACCCACAACAGACGAAAAACTCTACAGACTGCAGGTTCACACCCCATTATAAACCAGCAAAACATCCACAAGACAAAGAAAGGTTTGTCACAGCCAGAAAATACACTGCAGACATGCAGCTGGCGTAACGCATGCCAGCATCGTCCTTCTGCCTCGTCCACCACAACAGCTGGAGGATTCCTTGGGGACTCTTACTCTGTCGAGTCCGTGTCGACTAACAACTATTACATGCGTATATGTGTGACATTCAGCCACATGGGTGGCATTATAGCCACATATGCTTTTAACTTTTAAACTTTCAAGTTTCAACCCATGAACTTGATGCATGAACGTGCTGAGAGGGTGATGGTCACATGTGGAAGGGAGGCACTCCCTTTTGTAAATGATCCATTTGGGGGGTTTGGATGTTTTCTATACATAAAGTACAACCGAGAGGTGGGTGGGTTAGTGACGGGGGTGAGTGAGTGGAAAGGGTTATAGGATTTACCAGGACCATAGGGGGCTCAACAATGCCATGTGTTATGGTGACACGGTGCCACACCTGCCAACGAGAGTGGCAGCAAGGGTACCGGTCATTCATGAGGGCTCTTGATGCCACCACTCACCCATCCAAATCAAGGTTAGGGACCTTGTTGCACTGCTCTCCAACTATTTGAAATGGAGAGTGCAATCTTCAACTATAACGTGGAAAGTCACATTCCCGATCGTTTTGTTTTTGGCAGATTAGGAGAGTTTTGGAGCGAGGCCTGACATCTCTGCAGTAGGCATCAGGGTGACCGGGCGGAGGGTGATAGGCCTATAGTTCCGTATGTCTTCCTTGTCCCCCTTTTTATAGATGAGGGTTGTGATCCCCTGACCAATCATATCCCCGAACGTGTCCTCTCTGTAGACCGCATTCACATATTGGCGGAAGTCTTCTTGGAATGTCTCCCAGAAGTGGAGTCAAAACTCTTTGGGGAAAGAATCGAACCCCGGGGTCTTCTCATCATCCATGTCCCGTAGGGCCAGCAACATATCCTCCGGTGTGATGGGTGACTCCATAGCTTCCCATTGCTGTGTGGTAAGCATTGACGGGATAGCATTTAGGAGGGTGTCCCTGGCAGTCTGCAGAGTGTGAGGTGGATGATGGTTAGTCTCTAATGTGAAAAGTCTTTGCTAGTATGCCGAGGCATACTCGGTTATCTTATAGGCATTGGATGCAAGTGGTTGGCTATTATCGAACAGGTGCCTGAAGGAAGAAACTGTGCTATGTCTATTTCTAGCCTTAGCTTTACGGAAGAACGTCCTTGTCATCATTCCTTTTTTTCTTTTTTTTTTTCTTTTTGAACAAGACTCCAATCTATTCGTGGGGAGCAGCACGTGCTGGGAACCGGGCCCAACGTCCCATATGGAAATGTACATAGAAGTATAAAAGTTTGAGAAACCGAGGCCATGACAGAAATTTAGGCAAAGTTCAGAAACGACTCAGAACCCCCCGATCAATCCTCTTTACCTCACTCCGGCAAGCCTTACTGCAGCATAGCCACCATCTCCGCTGCTGCTGTACCCTAACTCCATCCTACAAGCTAGCCCCCTCACTAGTAGGACGCTTAATATCCATCCGTCTATTCCTCTCAACTTTCCTTGAAAAAATTAAGAAGACCTCCCCTTGCCAGCATTGATTGCCCCAGAAACCAGCGGATTAACTGAGCAGGGACAATCCTAATAGTCAGCCTCTGGAACAGTCAACCTAAAAAATCCTGCCTCCATCATCGAAAGGAAAAACCTCAATGGAGTTAATAGCAAGTGGCCGGTACCCCCCAAGATACTTGGCGCCAATCGCATCCACCCCCATTCCCTCCATCCCAGTCACTTCCTCACTCCGTCCCCTCGTAAGGGGTTTCAGAGAACCACTTCTCAGCAGGGGGTGAGCACCATCATCCCCCGAAGTTCCTTGGCCCCACAAGAACTCCAGTCTCCGTCTTCAAGGGGGTGAACTAGCGCTACCCAACGCCAATCGCGCCAGAGCTCGCCCACATCAGCCGGTACCCATTGGGCAATCTAAACTACCCAACGCCAATCGCATTTGATACGACCTTCCCCTAGCCGGTACCCGTCAAGCAACCCTATTCCATCCCCTCCCCGTCCTTGCAAAGAATCATTTCATGCCCCTTTCCTTTCGCTGCGTCCTTCGTGATTTGTGCCTGAATTCTCCATTTCTGGGTCTGGTTATCAATATATTCTTGTAGTTGAGCCCTTGCCCTTTGGAGAGCATTGTTGTTCATCTTTGTGCAGTGGTTCATCCCAACCCCTTAGCATGTCTTTACCAATTTTTTTAAATGTTTTGTATGAGGACACTTTGTTATATCATCAGTTGGAAACACCCATTAAGCCACCAGTACTTGGCCTAGCTATAGACCGTGGGGAAAAAATAAAGTAGAAGCGTTTCTAGTCGGATGAATTTGGGCACTCCTGTACTGGCCCGTACATTTCCTAAAACTGTGGCTTGTTAACGGGCATGACCTTAGGAAGTACTGGTGGTCTAAACTTGGAGGGTTACAGAGAAGGGGAAGAACAGTGAGTCATGCGCAAGGTTGGTGTCAGGAGGAAAAGTAAACTTTGTTATATCATGGTAGATCTCAAGGGAGAGGGAGGTTTCTGACAGCTGCCTGCTGATTCATGTCAGGGTGGGTGATGGACCAATACCAGGGGCCGCTGCGTATGCTGACAATGATGTGGGTGCATGCGGAGCAACAGGCGATGGGGACATAATGATGAGGTTTCTTCCATGGTAAGAGGTGCCCATATAATCTCCCTGGATCTTCTCATTGGCAGATCACTTGCCTTCACCCAGACAATAATAAGTAGTCCCATCTGATCAAAATTCATCACAAAATGTATGTTTCCATTACCAAGAGATGTCGGCATCCTATCCCTCTTCAGACTCCCACATGTTCTTTATCCAATCTCTCTCTCTCTCTCTCTCTCTCTCTCTCTCTCTCTCTCTCTCTCTCTCTCTCTCTCTCTCTCTCTCTCTCTCTCTCC